AATCTTCATGACTTCATATTTGGCAATAGATTTATAAATTTGATACCAGGGCAGCAAAAGGAAAAATATATAAATGAAATTTCATCAAAATTAAACTTGGTGCAGCAAGAATATAATTAAGGATGTGAAATGACAACCGAATGAATGGGAGGAAATATTTTCATATTATGTATATGTAAGAGTTTAAAGTTTTGAATACACAAACCATTCTAGCAGCTTAAAAAGAAAAAGAAAAATAAAAGCAACTTAATTTAAATAGAAAATGTACTTGAATGGCATGTATCCAAAGAAGATATACAAATGGGTAATAATATATTATATTATTATGCTATATATATTTTATATATATATTGAATAATAATAACATATTATTATTCAAGTTCAAAATCATTGGCCATTAAATACAAGTTAAAACCACAATGAGAGCTGGGTGCAATGGCTCACACCTATAATTCCAGAACTTAGGGAGGCCAAGATGGGCAGATCACCTGAGGTCAAGAGTTCGAGACCAGCCCGGCCAAATTGGTGAAAACCCATCTCTACCAAAAACATAAAAATTAACCAGGTGTGGTGGCACATCCCTGTAATTCCAGCTACTCTGGGGACTGAGTCAAAAGGATTGTGTAAACCCAGGAGGCAGAAGTTGCAGGGAGCTGAGATCGTGCCACTGCACCCCACCCTGGGTGACAGAGTAAGACTCTGTCTCTAAATAAATAAATAAATAAAACCACAATGAGCTACCACTTTACATTCACTAGGATGGCTTCAATAAATACAGAAAATTACAAGTATTAGCAACTATGTGGAAAATTAGAAATCCTTCTACATTGCTGGAAGGAATATAAAATGCCACATTCACTGTAGAAAAGTTTGGCTCTTATACAAGAAGATAAACATAAAATCACCATTTGACCCAGCAATTCAACTCCTGAGAATATACCCAAGAACGATGAAAACATGCTCATAAAGAAAGACACACAAATAGTCAAAGCAAGATTATCTATAAGAGCCGAAATTTGGAAACAATGCAAATGTTCATAAACAGATGAATAACAAATTGTGATATATGTGCGTGGAAAATAAAGTATATTTCAACGACAAAAAGAATGAAGTACTAATACACGTTGCAACTTAGATGAGCCTCCAAAACTTTATACGTGAACGGACCCAGCAATAACAGGCTACATATGCTATGAGTCCTTTATATATCCATAACAGGCAAATCCATGGAAACAGAAAGAAGATTAGAGGTCATTACATGATGGGGTGGAGGAATGGAGTGATTATTTAATGAATACGATATGTTTTTGTGGAGTGATAAAAACATTTTGAAACCAGAGAAAGCTGGTGGTTTCACAACATTGTGAATACATAATACCACTCAAGTGTACACTTTAAAATGGTTAATTATATATCGTGTGAATTTCACTTCAATTTAATAAATGGCATAATTCCCTGATTTACAGACTTAATGCAATCCTGTCAAAATCCCCATTGGCTCCTTTGAGAAAATTGACAAGTTTATTCTAAATTTCATATGAAGATTCAAGGGACCCAGAATAGTGAAAATGGTACTGAAAAAGAACAACAAAAGACTCACACGCCTTGATTTGATTTAATAACTTGGTATTAATACAATATTACAGTAATTAAGACGATGTACCATAGGGATTAGGAGAGACATATAGATCAATGGAGTACAACTGAGAGCACACACACACACAAAAAAAACCTTCACACATTTATAGTCCATTGGATTTTGACAGGGTTGCCAAGACAATTCAATAGGGGAAAAAAATAGCCTTTTCAACAATGGTGCAATGACAACAGGATTGATGTTTACACATCATTTGATAGACACCAAATTCCAACTGTTATCTGTACAAATCATTTTAGTTTACACTCAATGAAGGCTTCCCTTCCCTCTTCCATCCACCTACTCTTTCCCATCACCCACCTCTGCACCTCCATGTAGAGCGTTCCAATCCATTTGAAACCCTCCTCTGACTCTCACTGCAAATATTTTATGGCCTATTTCAATTTTCAGGAATTCAGGAAACCCACCTAGGTTAAGCCATTCTTTCCCATTCTCAAATAAACTGTGTGCAATAATGATGCTCATCTTCATCACATGGCATAGTTTATATTTTCATATTTGTCGGTAATTGATTCCATTTCACCTGAAATATGCATTCTGTTTCTCCTTGGGTAGATTTATACATATATATTTTTTAAGTTCTGGGATACATGTGCAGAAGGTACAAGTTTGTTACATAGGTATACACGTGCCATGGTGGTTTGCTGCACCCATCTTGGCCCCGGAGTTGATGCTCCCTTACATGTGTCCATGTGTTCTCATTGTTCAACTCCCACTTATGAGTGGGAGCATACAATGTTTGGTTTTCTGTTCCTGTGTTAGTTTGCTGAGGATGATGGTTTCCAGCTTCATCCATATCCCTGCAGAGGACATGAACTCATCCTTTTTTATGGCAGCACAGTATTCCACAGTGTATATGTGCCACATTTTCTTTATCCAGTCTGTCATTCATCAGCATTTGGGTTGGTCCCAAGTCTTTGCTATTGTGAATAGTGCTGCAATAAACATATGTGCACCTGTGTCTTTATAGTAGAATGATCTATAGTCCTTTGCTATAGTATGGCTGAATATGAAATTCTGGATTGAAAATTCTTTAAGAATATTGAATATTGGCTCCCACTCTCTTCTGGCTTGTACTGTTTCTGCAAAAAGATCTGCTGTTAGTTTGATGGACTTCCTTTGTCTTAGGGTTGCTCTTCTCAAGGAGTATCTTTGTGGTCTTCTCTTTATTTCCTAAATTTGAATGTTGGCCTGTCTTGCTAGGTTGAAGAAGTTATTCTGGATAATATCCTGAAGAGTGTTTTCTAACTTGGTTCCATTCTCCCCATCACATTTAGGTACACCAATCAAACATAGGTTTGGTCTTTTTACATAATCCCATATTTCTTGGAGGCTTTGTTTGTTCCTTTTCATTCTTTTTTCTCTAATCTTGTCCTTGCATTTTATTTCATTAGGTTGATCTTCAATCTCTGATATCCTTTCTTCTGCTTGATCAATTTGGCTATTGATACTTGTGTATGCTTTACAAATTTCTTGTGCTGTTTTTTTCGGTTCCTTCAAGTCATTTATGCTCTTCTCTAAACTAGTTATTCTGATTAGCAACTCGTGTAAACTTTTTTAAGGTTCTTAGCTCCCTTGCATTAGGTTAGAACATGGTCCTTTAGCTCGGTGAGGTTGTTATTACCCACCTTCTGAAGGCTATTTCTGTCAATTCATTAAACTCATTCTCCATCCAATTTGTTCCCTTGCTGGAGAGGAGTTGTGATCCTTTAGAGAGAAGAAGCATTCTGGTTTTTGTAATTTTCAGCCTTTTTGCACTGTTTTTTTTTTTTTTTTTTTTTTCCCTCATCTTCATGGATTTATCTACCTTTAATCTTTGATGCTGGTGACCTTTGGATGGGGTTTTCGTGTGGATGTCCCTTTGATTGATATTAATTTTGCTATTCCTTTCTGTGTGTTAGCTTTCCTTCTAACAGTCAGGCCCCTCTGCTGCAGGTCTGCTGGAGTTTGCTGGAGGTCTCCTCCAGACCCTATTTGTCTGGGTACTGTCAGAAGCGGCTGCAGCCCTGAAGAGATTGTTTCCTGTTCCTTCTTCTGGAAGCCTCATCCCAGATGGGCACCTGCCAGATGCCAGCCAGATGGAGCTCTCCTGTATGAGGTGTCTGTCAACTTCTGCTGGGAATTGTCTCCCAGTCATGAGGCATGGGGGTGAGGGGCCCACTTGAGGAGGCAGTCTGTCCTTTAGCAGTGCTCGAGTGCTTTGAAGGGAGATCTACTCTCTTCAGTGCCAGCAGGCAGCAACATTGAAGCCTGCTGAAGCTGCATACACAGCCGCCTCTTCCCCCAGGTGCTCTTTCCCAGGGAGATGGGAGTTTTATGTATAAGCCCCTGACAGGCTGCTGCTGCCTTTCTTTCAGAGACGCCCACCCAGAGAGGAAGAATCTGGACAGACAGTCTGGTTACAGCAGCTTTTTGGAGCTGCAGTAGGCTCCACCCAGTTCAGACTTCCTAGTGGCTTTGTTTACATTGTGAGGGGAAAACCACCTACTCAAGCCGCAGTAATGTCGCACGCCCCTCTCCCTACTAAGCCCAAATGTCCCAGGTCAATTTCAGACTGCCGTGTTGGCAGTAAGAATCAAGCCAGTGGAGCTTGCTGGGCTCTGTGGGGGTGAGATCCACTGAGCCAGACCACTTGGCTCCCTAGCTTCAGCCCTCTTCCCAAGGCAGTGAACAGTTTTGTCACGCTGGTGCTCCTGGTGCCCCTGAGGTATGAAAAAAAAAAATTTCTGCAGCTAGCTCTGTCTGCCCAAACAGCCCCCCAGTTTTGTGCTGGGCCCTTGTGGTGTAGGCACCTGAGGGACTCTCCTGGTCTGCAGGCTGTGAAGACCGTGGGAAAAGCATAGTATCTGGGCTAGAATGCACCATTCTTCATGGCAGGGTCCCTCACAGCTTCCCTTGGCTAGGGGAGGGAGTTCCCTGACCCTTTGCCCTTACTGGGTGAGGCGAGGCCCCACGCTGCTTTGTCTCACCCTCCATGGGCTGCACTGTCTAACCAGTCCCAATGAGATGAGCCACGTACTTCAGTTGGAAATGCAGAAATCACCCACCTTCTGCATTGATCTCGCTCGGTGCTGCAGACCAGAGCTGTTCCTATTCAGCTATCTTTATTGTTTGGGCAGATTATTTTTATTTAAACAATTTAGTCTACATATTCTAATTATTTAACAATCTAATTTTATATTTTCCATTATGCTTACTGGATATTCATTCATACAATAACAACTTAAAGTGCTTCTCAAGCATTACTGTTTGACCAGTTAAACATCCCTAGTAAACACAGAGCAAGTCCATGAATCACAGATTCACAAGCAGTCACATAACTAAACTTTTGTTAACATTTTACCTTCTCCATTTTGATCAGGAAGCAATCAATAAAGTCCCGAGGGTTGTTTATGTCCATCGATTCTTGGTGTTCTTTTACTTTCTCCAAAATATAACTTTTCACAAAAGCAACGTTTTTAAGTAATTTGTTATGAGTTCCCGGGAAATAATCAATGATAGGAGAAAAATTGTTGTAGATCTAAGAGAAAACAATAGTTTATTAAATTAAAAGATTTTAATAAAGGCATATATACCATATACCAAGCTCTGGTTGTAAATTACAGCTATAAATATAAATAAAATATATCATATATCTTGATGGGAAAATTTTTATTGTACATATGTAGTAATTATCTGATTATAAAAGATTTGAGGAAGAAAATTCTGACCAGAGAATCAATTATAACCCGATGATAAACATTTTCTAGACTCACACCTCCTTTTTATTGTATAAAAGCATCTTCATATTAATTCTATTACCTTTTACAATTCTTCTCTACAATCTTGAAATATAAGATGGCATGAATTACCACATTCACATTTTGTAGACGACAGCATAGGTTAAGAGAGTTTGGACAACCTGATTGATAGTACAAAGCTAGTCCCTACTATATTGATTTCTATCAAGCAGCCTCTGAAATGGAATTAGTATTTTAGAAGTTGGAGGGGTTCAAAGATACTTCAAATTCCAACTGTGTACCACAGCAGTTAAATGACTTCTGTAAAATCACACAATTATTATTTAGGCAGAGTATAAAACATGCCAATTCAGCACAGAGTATAAGTGTGAAATCTGTTTATGGTTCATACACCATAAAACCAATAATTTCATCATTCCTAACCCAGCTATCTCATCAGCTAGAATCCCAACTGAGATATCAAACACCCCTGCCCTATTCATGTTTCTGGGCAGCTTCTATGGTCCCAAATATTCTCCCTTGTTGAAGGAGATGTCTTTCAAATTAGGATATTTCTGCCACACAATATGACAAAGTGTGAAGTGAAGAACAAGTCTTGTGAGTAATGGAAGCCTCCAAAGTGCCTGGATGTCCATGGAGTGATATGAGCACGCTTTGGGGCTGTCACCAAAGCGCTTTATAGAAACAGGGCTTTGGAGTTTAGTGGAAGAAACATTGATAAGGGAGCTAATGGGCTTAGAAGTCAGGCCTATATTGGGACATTTATTTCCCATGCATAAAATAAAGGGCTTGGCCATCTTTCCCAGATATTCACCCCATGGTTGTCTGGGCAACACTATAGTATTCAAAAATGCACTTCAGACCTTGATCCATATAGAATTTTGGATTTGTCAGAAAAAAAGAGCATAAGTGGTTTATCAGGAAGTAAAAATCTTGGCCTTACCTGGATCCAGGGGCTGCTCAAAATCTTGGCGTTTTCGTTAAACTTTTCCATCAAGTTAAGAAATTGCTGATCTTTATAATCAAAACGTTTATGGAAAATAATGGAGCAGATCACATTGCAGGGAGCACAGCCCAGGATGAAAGTGGGATCACAGGGTGAGCCTAAAGAATTAGAAACAATTTAAAACACTATTAAACTTCAGATATAAAATGCTTTGTATTTGTTAACAGATAATAGTAGTTTAGAAATTTTAAGCAATATCTTACCTACGAATTCCCTTAACAGCAAAAAAGAGTTCGGCATGCATAAAATCAACACAGCACTTTTACATTAATCCCGAGTTGACCATTACAACCTAGCTGGTTAAATAACGGTTGTTCAAATGATAAATTTACATTGCCAGCCTATTTGTCTTTTACTTTGGGGAAAAAAAAAAGACATTTTCTAAAAACCTAATAATTCAGGTTTCAGAGGAAATAACATCAGTCTGCAAAGTCTGTAGACAACAAGGCACTGAGATAGAAAGGGCAAGAATAGTTGAGGATTTTAAAACTTTTTATATATAATGAATAGCTGAAAGACTCATGTGTTGAACCAGTAGAGAGGAACTACAGAGACTGTGGGTGAATTCATGTATTTAAGGAAATAAATGTAAGAAGCAGAATGTGTTTTATAAGAAGGAAAACAAATGTAAATGAATAATATGCCTAACATAGATTAGTTTGTAAAAATTTAAATGAAAACTTTGTTTGTTGTTTGTTTTTATTATTTGTTTGTTTTGAGATGGAGTTTCACTCTTGTTGCCCATGCTGCAGTGGAATGGCACGATCTCAGCTCACCACAACCTCTGACTCCTGGGTTCAAGCAATTCTCCACCTCAGCTCCAGAGGTAGCTGGGATTACAGGCATGTGCCACCATGTCCGGCTAATTTTGTATTTTTAGTAGAGACGGGTTCCTCCATGTTGGTCAGGCTGGTCTCGAAATGCCAACCTTAGGTGATCTGCCCACTTTGGTCTCCCAAAGTGTTGGGATTACAGCCATGAGCCACAGTGCCTGGCCAAAAACTTTTTATTTTAAATATAAATCCCAGGTAAGGCAAATAAGAACGTGTAAATTGATAAATGGAGTTTTTTCTTCTGTAGCTTTTTAAAAATGAATTTTCTTATGTAGGAACTAAATGCCCACCATCTGTAGTCATCCTGCAAATTTAACTTATTTAATTTGATATTGATTAGGCCCAGCCTATCATTTAATAGCTAAATAAATTAAATTATAGGTAAGGTTTTCTTGTTTGGTGGAGGATCTCTGAAATAAAGTTGTTATAATCAAGTGATTGATAAAGTTTATATTTTTTAAATTTTCTTTTGTTTTGCTTTAAGTTCTAGGATACATATGCAGAACGTGCAAGTTTGTTACATAGGTATACATGTGCCATGGTGGTTTGCTGCACCTATGAACCTGTCATCGAGGTTTTAAGCATCTCATGCATTAGATGTTTGTCCTAATGCTCTCCCTTTCTGGCCTCCCATCCCCTGACAGACCCCAGTATGTGATGTACCCCTCCCTGTGTCCATGTGTTCTCATTGTTCAGCTCCCATTTATGAGTGTGAACTTGTGGTGTCTGGTTTTCTGTTCCTGTGTTAGTTTGCTGAGGATGATGATTTCTAGCTTCACCCATGTCCCTGCAAAAGACACAAACTCATCCTTTTTTATGGCCACATAGTATTCCATGGAGTATATGTGCCATGTTTTCTTTATCCAGTCGATCATTGATGGGCATTTGGATTAGTTCCAAGTCTTTACTATTGTGAACGGTGCCACAATAAACATACATGTGCATGTGTCATTAGAGTAGAAAGGTTTATAATCCCTTGGGCATATACCCAGTAATGGGATTTCTGAGTCAAATTGAATTTCTAGTTCTAGATCCTTGAGGAATCACCACACTGTCTTCCACAATGATTGAACTAATTTACATTCCTACCAACAGTATAAAAGGGTTTGTTTCTCAACATTATCACCAACATCTGTTGTTTCCTGACTTACTAAGGATCACCATTCTAACCTGCATAAGATGGTATCTCATTGTAGTTTTGATTTGCATTCTGTAACGACCAGTGATGATAAGCTTTTTTTGGTACATTTGTTGGCTCCATAAATGTCTTCTTTTGATAACTGTCTGTTCATATCCATTGTCCACTTTTTGATGGGGATAATTCTTTTTTTCTTGTAAGTTTGTTTAAGTTTCTTGTGGATGCTGGATATTAGCCCTTTGTCAGATGGATAGATTGCAAATAATTTCTCCCATTCTGTAGGTTACCTGTTCACTCTGATGATAGTTTCTTTTGCTGTGCAGAAGCTCTTTAGTTTAATTAGATGCCATTTGTCAATTTTGGCTTTTGCTGCCATTGCTTTCGGTGTTTTAGTCACAAACTCTTTGCCCCTGCCTATGTCCTGAAAGGTATTGCCTAGGTTTTCTTCTGGGGTTTTTGTGGTTTTAGGTTTTATGCTTAAGTTTTTAATCCATCTTGAGTTAATTTTTGTATAAGGTATAAGGAAGGGGTCCAGCTTCTGTTTTCTGCGTATGGCTAGCCAGTTTTCCCAACAGCATTTATTAAATAGAGAATCTTTTCCCCATTGCTTGTTTTTGTCAGGTTTGTCAAAGATCAGATGATTGTGGATGTGTGGTAATATTTCTGAGGCCTCTGTTCTGTTCCATTGGACTACATATCTGTTTTGGTATCAGTACTATGCTGTTTTGGTTCCTGTAGCCTTGTAGTATTGTTTGAAGTCAGTTAGAATGATGCCTCCAGCTTTGTTCTTTTTGCTTACAATTGTCTTAGCTATATAGGCTCTTTTTTGGCTTCATATGAAATTAAAAGTAGTCTTTTCTAGTTCTGTGAAGAAAGTCAATGATAACTTGATAGGTATATCATTGAATCTATGAATTACTTTGGGCAGTATGGCCATTTTCACAATATTAATTCTTCCTATTCATGAGCATAGAATTTTTTTCCATTTGCATCATCTCTTTATTTCCTTGAGCCGTGGTTTGTAGTTCTCCTTGAAGAGGTCCTTCACATCCCTTGTAAATTGTATTCCTAGGCATTTCATTCTCTTTGTAGCAATTGTGAATGGGAGTTCACTCATGATTTGGCTCTCTGCTTGTCTATTATTGGTGTGTAGAAATGCTTGTGATTTTTGCACATTGATTTTGTATCCTGAGACTTTGCTGAAGTTGCTTATCAGCTTAAAGAGTTTTGGGGCTGATATGATGGGGTTTCTAAATATACAATCATGTCACCTGCAAACAGAGACAATTTGCCTTCTCTTCCCATTTGAATACCCTCTTGCCTGATTGCTCTGTTCAGAACTTCCAATACTATGTTGAATAGGCATGGTAAGAGAGGGCAACCTTGTCTTGTGCTGGTTTTCAAAGGAAATGCTTCCACTTTTGCCCATTCAAAATGATATTGGCTGTGGGTTTGTCATAAATAGCTCTTATTTTGAGATATTAAACTTTATATTTAAAGAGCTCCCAAATTCACATCTATGGGTCCTAAATAGTGACTTTATTCTATAGTACTCTGAATGGCTGGGCATCGAATAGCTGGAAATCTGTTAGTTTGTTGTGTCATTCACAGATAAATCTGATTTTCAGTCTTTCACTTCATTTGGAAAACAGAATTTAAAAACAAAGTAATTTGGTATCAAGGCTGACAAACAGATACATTGTAAAACTTCATAGATGAGTAGAGATGGCAGTGGAAAAAATAATTACCATAAATTTCTAAGCCAAAATTTCATAAATATGGTGGGATAAAGATAAGCATAACTGAAACAGAACCAAATTATACTTAGGGAAAACAGATTACAGAGTTACTACTAATAATTAAAATCTAGTTAAATAAATTGTTTTGTAAATTGACATTTGTGTATTTCACAGAATTATGCTACAGCACATATTTACTGAAAATATATAAATCAAGAGTAACAAGAAATAATTAATACTATTTTTTAAATAATACCATGTTTACAGATAAATAATAATTGATGAGAACTGCTGTAAGATATGCCTAAGCAAGTATGGGCCTAAAAGAAACCCCAGACAAGTCAGTGAGGCTGACCATACAAATACAGTCCAATTAAATAAAAGCACATGCCATTTGGTTCATGCTCCCTAGGGGTGTGATAGGGCCATTCCCACCATGTCCATTCTCTGGTGACTTGTTCTGGAATAGGTAATGGGAAAAACACTGCTCTTTAACTCTTTCAAAAAATGAACTCAAAATCTATATTCATGATTTCTTATTTGAAAGCAAAGAAGCAAAATTCAGGAGAACACAGGATTAAATGAGCCTTTTATACCCACAGTGTATGCACAATCATGCCTGTACACACACAGCACAAATATGTGCAAATTCCCTTGGCTCTCAGCCTCAAACCCCCACTTCACATGAGCTAACAACTAGGACTCATAATGAAAGATGTGGCCACCCCTGAAATGTTTCCAAGAATGTCAGTAGAGAAAATAGTAGTCCAGTAAGGTCAGTGATACAGAGTAGGTTCACCCACCCTTGGTTTTTCTCAACTCCTCCACAAGGCAGCGGGCTTCCTCTTGAACACGATCCTCAATGCTCCTCTTCCCCATGCCAAAATTCCGCAGCGTCATGAGGGAGAAACGCCGGATCTCCTTCCATCTCTTTCCATTGCTGAAAACGATTCCTAACAAGAAGAGAAACAGAAACTAGGAGGGAGATCCCAGGCAAGAAAGAGGGAGCTAACACTGGGCAGCCACGTGGATGGGCCAAGCTCTGCCTGAGAAGCTCTGCAAGTCTCTGTTTTCTTATCCTCCCCATCCCCAAGATGGACACTGAAACAGACACATGCACACCTACCAAATCTTCTGTTAGCTCTTTCAAACAGTGGGAAATGGCCTCTTCCAGAAAACTCCTCTCCAAGATCAATCAGGGCTTCCTTCACCGCTTCATATCCATGCAGTACCACCATGCGTTCCAGGCCAAAATACAGAGTGAACACAGGGCCATAGACTTTTGAGAGCTAGGAAAGTAGATATAGATAACAGCAAATGCAGCAACTATTTCGTCCATTTACTAAGCCTCACTTAGAATGATATTTTCATTGTATTTGTATGCTTTTATTCAGCCACACAGGCTTTAGATATTTCTGAATTTTACATATAAACATGATGATGATTATACTCGCCACTCAGATGATCTGTGATGTTCAAGGCAATAGTCAGACAATTGCTGCACAGATTACAATTAATGTTCACATCAACACATTCAGCAGGTCTATTTACTCTATTTTAAACAAACAGCCATGTGTGGTGGCTCACACCTGTAATTTCAATACTTTGGGAGGCTGAGGCAGGTGGATCACAAGGCCAGGAGTTCAAGACCAGCCTGGCCAATGTGGTGCAACCTCTTCTCTACTGAAAATACAAAAATTAGCTGGGCATGGTGGCACATGCCTGTAATGCCAGCTACTTGGGGGCCTGAGGCAGGAGAATTGCTTGAACGGGAACCCGGGAGATGGAGGTTTCAGTGAGCTGAGGTCACACCACTGCACTCCCGCCAGAGCTACAGAGCAAGACTTTGTCTCAAAAATAAATAAATAAATAAATAAATAAATAAATAAATAAATAAATAAAAACTGAGCTCAGAGAATGACAAATTCATTTTCAGTGTCCTACAGCTAATGTACAGAAGACCCAAATTTGAAACTCCATTTATTCAAACACTGATGCTTGATATATTTATTAGCACTCTTGAGACCACCTTAAGGCCAATACCCAGCTTTAAGAACTAACAGTTTCCTGGTTTAATAGCCTTTTATGAATAGCATGCATCATAGCATTTATACTAAAAATATCTCTCTATGGACTCCACTTAGGACTCCCAAAAGCCCACATAGAGGCACCCATTGCCAGGTCAATAGTCCTCATAGCAGTACTCCTAAAATTAGGTGGTTACAGGATTATATGAATCATTTTAATCCCTCACCCCCAACAGAGCTTATAGCTTATTCCTCCCTCATACTATCCTTATGAGTTATAATCATAACGAGCTCCATTTGTCTGTGCCGAATGATCTAAAATCACTCATTACTTACTCTTCCATAAGCCACATGGCACTTGTTATCATAGCTTTTCTCATTCAGACCTCCTGAAGTTTCAGCAGTGCAACTGCCCTAATAATTGTCCACAGACTAACCTCATCCCTATTATTCTGTCTTTCAAACTGAAACTACAAATGAGTTCACAGCCAAACCATACACTAACACCGGACCTTCAAACACTTCTCTCCCTGATAGCCATGTGATGACTCCTAACTAGTCTTGCCAACCATGCCCTGCCCCCTACCATCAATCTAGTAGGAGTAGTCTTCATAACTATAGCCTCATTCTCTTGGTCTAATCATACCATCATGCTCATAAGGTTTAATACACTAATCACAGTCCTTTACTACCTGTATATGCTAATTATTACACAACAAGGGGTATTCACATATTATATTAACACTGTTAAACCATCTTTCACTCGAGAAAAAACCCTAATACTTATACATCTTCTGACTCTCTTCCTACCATTACTAAACCCTAAGGTCATTTCGGGGTTTATATATTGTAGGTACAGTTTAATTAAAACATTAGTTTGTGGATCTAATAATGGAAGCCTGTAACTTCTTATCTACCATTTATCTGCTTTTGCTGGTCCTGAATCCACAGCTATTTCCTTTACAACAGGCATAAATTAATTCTTCAGAGAAGTTCAGTTTTCATGGCTATTCTGAATAAAACACATGGCTAGTATAGTAGAGAACTTAATAAAATCTCTAACAACAAACACGTCCCTTACCATTTACCTTCAGCCAAAATTTATAGCAAATGGCTATGAAATGAAGAAGGAACACAGCATTTCAAACTATTGACTTGTTATTTTGAATCTAACATGCAAAGACCTAAATCTTTCTCTACTCATAAAATACATGATTTCATTCCACTATTTCTGACACTGACAGACTGGAAAAGGCAACAAAAGCCTTTCAAAGTATTTTATTTTACAATGATCTCTTGTAACAATGTACCTCAAGGGATATACTTTATTCAAAAAATACAGGTGAATTTACTTACCCTTTGCAAACCACTGAAGGAGCATACTTACATTGGTTAAGGATTTGCTGACGTCCTTAACACCTATCTTTAGGATATTTCCAATGACTGGGAGAGGAGGGGGGCCAGGAGGGAGTTTTCCTCTCCCAGATCTCTGTCTCCAGAGTGAAAGGAGAAGCAAACAGGAGAGACAGAGCACAAGGACCACAAGAGAATCCATTGAAGCCTTCTCTTCTTGTTAAGACCAACATGAGCTTGCGCTCCAAGCCTTTTATAACACTCCATGCGAATTCAGTGTGTGCCTCTTTGACGAATAAAATGACCAATCACCTAGGTCCACTATAGGCTCCTTCTGAAAGGACTTTGACCCACTGATAGAGATAAAAATAAAATGTCCTTTGATCTTGTTCTCCTTCGTTCCAGTGCCCACTCTGTACATTCCTGTTTCATTGTACTAGGTTGGAGCCTAGGTATTGGTAATAAAAAACAAATGGTAACTCAGATGGTTCCAATGCACCATCACGATTGAGAGCACTAAAGTAAATAATCTGATGCAAAAACAATTACTCAAAATTCTGAATTCTTAGATTAATAACCAGTTGGGAACTTATGATTTTGAGGGAAAGTAATGTATTCCATGCCTTGTATATTTAAAAAGTATGTCAATGCTATACAAAGATTAGGAGACTTTGTTCTTTATAATGAAATCCTTTCAAATATTTAATATAGCCTACTAAAAATACAGCAGCTTAAACATGAAATAGCTAGCATAACTTGTATATCTTAAATAACCAAACATATATCAAATAAATTAGTTTAGCAGATATAAACACCTTTACAATTAAACCTGCTAAAAAAAAATACATGAAGGCAGGAATTGTTACTTTTTATTTTTCAAATGGGAAAAGGGAGATCCTGGGAGAACAGGAGATCTGTCGGTGCCACACAGATCATAGCTGGCAGAACTGAGATCTGAGCTGAGGTCTTCTGATGCCCATCATAGTGTATTATCTCTTACACCAGAGCTGCCTTGAGAACAATTACAGCAAAACAAAACAAACTTCTAAACATTAGTTATTCTGAATATACACCACATTGATTCTGCTCAAAAAACAGGCTTCACATTAAATAGAACTCCTTATTTGTCTCTAACAAAAACAGCACCAGAGATGCTCAGGAAAAGAAATAAGAGTTCTCCCTTCTCCATCACTGCAGAGGTGAAAAGCTCAGTGTAACTGAGGAAAGAATTTGGCGCTAAGGGTTTGAGAAACTTGGGCTTTTCTATCCCCCAGTCACCTCCAGACCTGGCTGCTTTCTATTGTTTTTGGTCTCTCATTTTCAGAAATAATGTAATAATGCACAGCAAGCAAAGGAAATTATGGACAGAACCACAGCTGTGGATGCAATAGAGGATGAGAGGTAGGAAAACCACTGAATGGATCCACAGTACAGAACCACCACAATGTATAGACCTTAACAGGAGCTGACATATTGAGTTGAGGGTCTAAATACAACTAGAAAGATACACTTTACTAGATCACTAATGACAATACTTGTGCAAAGCCATTTTCTTTAACTATATCATCATATTTGTGCTAAATTCCCTAGTGGGTTTATTTCCATTTCTTTTATTGAGAAAAATACAGTTATGTTAAGACACAGCTGCACCATGCTTTACTGGTCATTTTTAACATGGATTCTAACAATTTACAGAGAATTGTTATGCCTCATGTCCCTTTGGAATCTCTCAATTACCTTTGCTTACAATAAAATTGACCCATTTCAGGAATGAGGAAGCTGAGCCTTGAAGATTCAGTACCTTAACCAGGAACATGGTGTCTACCTTAGCCAGCACCATGTTCCATGTCTTATGGGACTAGAACCCATAAGCCCTGCATCTTGAAGGTTTCATTTCAAGCAAAACATTGAGTTCAATTGAGTCCACCAATATTTACTGATTGTGTACAATGATTCAGTATTTTGTGATTCAGTCTAGTAAATGATTTTCAAAATAAACATTAATTTCATCAACAATTGCAGCCCCAGTTGACTAGATTGAGAGGTCAGAAGAGTTTGGTTTTATAACCTTTAGTTCTTGGGTAAGTCAAAGGCCTTGGAGATCCCTTTCCACAGGACAAAGAAAAGCAATAACTTTGTCCCTGACTCGTGTAACACTAAACTCTAACAGAAATATACTACCTTATTTTGGGTAAAATAAGCTCAGTTGCTCTCTTTAGTATAATCATTTCATTCCTTCAGAGCTAGGTGTCCCAGCTCAGCTCCTTCTCTCTCCTACTGAGTTGAGGCTCCTGCCTAGATCTTTCAGTTTATAGAAAGAAAGAATTACAGATAATTTGTAGACAGAAGGGATCTCTGAAATCAACTAAACTTTGCTTTGTTTTTTTTTTTAGAAATGAGCAATTGTTGACTCAGTGAGACAAAGTATCACAATGCGTCAGTATAAGACTTTTTATTTATTTATTTATTTATTTTTTGAGACGGAGTCTCGCTCTGTCGCCCAGGCTGGAGTGCAGTGGCACGATCTCTGCTTACTGCAAGCTCCACCTCCCGGGTTCCAATCATTCTCCTACCTCAGCCTCCCGAGTAGCAGGGACTACAGGCACCCACCACGATGCTGGTCTAACTTTTTAAAATTATTATTATACTTCATATTCTAGAGTACGTGTGCACAACGTGCAGGTTGGTTACATATATATACATGTGTCATGTTGGTGTGCTGCACCCATTAACTCGTCAATTACATTAGATATATCTCCTAATGCTATCCCTCACCCCTCCCCCCACCCCATAACAGGTCCCAGTGTGTGATGTTCCACTTTCTGTGTTGAAGTGTTCTCATTGTTCAATTCCCACCTTTGAGTGAGAACATGCAGTGTTTGATTTTCTGTTCTTGCCATAGTTTCCTATGAATGATGGTTTCCAGCTGAATCCATGTCCCTACAAAGGACATGAACTCATCCTTTTTTATGGCTGCATAGTATTACATGGCGTATAGGTGCCACATTTTCTTAATCCAGTCTGTCATTGATGGACGTTTGGGTTGGTTCCAAGTCTTTGCTATTGTGAATAGTGCCGCAATAAACATACGTGTACATGTGTCTTTATAGCAGCATGATTTATAGTCCTTTGGGTATATACCCAGCAATGGGATGACTGGGTCAAATGGTATTTCTAGTTCTAGATCCTTGAAGAATCGCCACACTGTCTTCCACAATGTTTGAACTAGTTTACAGTCCCACCAACAGTGTAAAAGTGTTCCTATTTCTCCACATCCTCTCCAGCACCTGTTGTTTCCTGACTTTTTAATGATCACTATTCTAACTGGTGTGAGATGGTATCTCATTGTGGATTTGATTTGCATTTCTCTGATGGCTAGTGATGATGAGCATTTTTTCGTGTGTCTGTTGGCTACATAAATGTCTTCTTTTGAGAAATGTCTGTTCATATCCTTTGCCTACTTTTTGATGGGGTTGTTTGTTTTTTTCTTGTAAATTTGTTTGAGTTCTTTGTGGGTTCTGGATATTAGCCCTTTGTCAGATGAGTAGATTGCAAACATTCTTTCATTATGTAGGTTGCCTGTTCACTCTGATGGTAGTTTCTTTTGATGTGCAGAAGCTCTTTAGTTTAATTAGATTCCATTTGTCACTTTTAGCTTTTGTTGCCATTGCTTTTGGTGTTTTTGACATAAAGTCCTTGCCCATGCCTATGTCCTGAATGCTATTGCCTAGGTTTTCTTCAAGGGTTTTTATGGTTTTAGGTCTAACATTTAAGTCTCTAATCCATCTTGAATTAATTTTTATATAGGGTGTAAAGAAGGGATCCAGTTTCAGCTTTCTACTTATGGCTAGCCAGTTTTCCCAGCACCATTTATTAAAGAGGGAATCCTTTCCCCGTTTCTTGTTTTTGTCAGGTTTGTCAAAGATCCGATAGTTGTAAATGTGTGGTGTTATTTCTGAAGGCTCTGTTCTGTTACATTGGTCTATATCTCTGTTTTGGTACCAGTACCATGCCGTTTTGGTTACTGTAGCCTTATAGTATAGTTTGAAGTCAGGTTGTGTGATGCCTCCAGCTTTGTTCTCTTGGTTTAGGATTGTCTTGGCAATGCAGGCTCTTTTTTGGTTCCACATGAACTATTAGAACTTATTGTTTGAGAAATTACGTTTTCTCTCTCAAAGAATAAAGATTTTCAACATTTTTTTCCTCAAATGCTGAGACCAGCTGAGTCGAGGAGACCCTAAACCAGCAGCACTAGAGGAATTAAAGACACACACACAGAAATATAGAGGTGTGAAGTGGGAAATCAGGGGTCTCACAGCCTTCAGAGCTGAGATCCCTTAACAGAGATTTACCCACGAATTTATTAACAGCAAACTAGTCATTAGCATTGTTTCTATAGATATTAAATTAATTAAAATATCCCTTATGGGAAATGAAGGTATTGGCCAAATTAAAGGAGTAGGTTGGGCTAGTTAACTGCAGCAGGAGCATGTCCTTAAGGTACAGATTGTTCATGCTATTGTTTGTGGCTTAAGAATGCCTTTAAGCGGTTTTGCACACTGAATGGGCCAGGTGTTCCTTGCCCTCATTCCGGTAAACCCACAATCTTCCAGTGGGGCATTAGGGCCATTATGAACGTGTTACAGTGCTGCAGAGATTTTGTTTATGGCCAGTTTTGGGGCTAGTTTATTGCCAGATTTTGGGGGGCTTGCTCCAAACATGTCCCCTTTCTTTGATTTGCAAATCAATAAAAGCAAAGACAGTTTTGTCACAGTGAGCTGCTTCTCACAGGAGTCAGGATCTGCATTTGCAGACTATACAAAGACAAACAACATAGATTAAAAGCACAATCATCATTGAAATCACAGAGCTTCCAAGTGTTTGTATTCATATGGGTTACTAGCTGCTAATTTGACTGCAACTCCTTTAAGCACTCCAGTTCCTGGCATTAAGGTCAGGTGTACCTGGGATGCTTTCGATATTTGTTCTTGTAATTTTGCTATATCACTACACTACACAGTCACTCGAGGTGCTGTATTTTGCAGAAAAACGAAACTGGACCCATATATGGTGAGAGCACCATATACAAATATCAAATTAAAATAAATGGAAGACTTAAATCTAAGACCTCAAACTCTGAAACTACTAAAAGAAAATATCGAGGAAACTCTCCAGGACATTGGTCTTGGCAAAAATTTCTTGAGTAATACCTCAAAAGCATAGACAA